TGTGTGGTAGATCAGATGTTCTATAGCTGATATCTAATTTTTAAATAAGTACCTTTCCAGAAGGGACCCCGTTAATCCTTTGACTCATCCAAGCTTTATTTTAAAGGGTGGAGGCATAGCAAATCAGAGAGAAACCTGGTCCCCTCTCTTTAGGGCCAGGCCACTCATAGGGTGAATCCAACCTATGCATGGAGTCCAAACACGAAGTCCTTTTCTGGGAAGAACTATCCTTCCCTGAATTATGAATGACATATAATTCATTGAGGAGATCCTATAATATTCTGAGACTTGACAAATCAATAAAATATTATTCAGAAACAAATACTTCTACTATAGATCTCACCATTTATTGGTGATCACCCTTCCATTTAGACCTTGCTTAATGCATAGTCTATGAGGGGGATAATTGTATTTGCTTATTGCCTGCCATCTCTGTATTAATAATCAGAGGGTCATTGAAAAAAGGGTTATCTATGTCATTCCACAGATGACATACGGAATGTTCACATAGGCAAAAGAGACTTCTTTCTGAAGGAGAGCTTTTATGACTGCCCTATGCTCTATTAATTAAAATGCTTTTTTTTAAAAAAAATCACAAACATAGTAGGACTTTACAATCTCTTCACCTCAGTCATTTGTATGACTTTAAAAATGCATTGTAAACAATTTTTTTTTTTTGCGTAAAAGCCTGTTTGTTTCCTCATATTTGTTTTTATCAAGGACACCCTCAAAATGCATGTAGATCATTATAAAAAAGGATTTTATGAAGATGAGAAATTAGTCATAGCACATCTATATTCTCTTTGTCACCTTTTTGAGTGTTAATATTGTATGCTATTTTCTCTCCCCCCATTACCTTGGTATTTTCCCTTCTCTGAGATATTTTGCGAAGTTATCCTTAGATACTTTCAAGATTACTTTGCTTTCAGTATAGATTTTCTTGGTATGTACATAATCTGATCCCTCTTCTCAAACTTAGTCTTCCAAAGTGCCATTTCTACTTCTTCACATAATACTTTAGAGACTGAATTGCTGGAGTGCAAATGTAATGTACCGATGAGATAGTGTGACATAATGGGTTGAGTGTTGGATTCTTTGAGTCAGAAGGACTGGATTTCACATTTCGGCAATCATACTTTTAGCATTGTGACCATGGGAAGTCACTTAAACCTCTTCGAGACTCAGTTCCATCATCTGTAAAATTGGAATGATAATAACTACTGTACCAACCTCAGAGAATAATTGTGAGGTTCAAAGCAGATAATGCATGTGTGGTGAGGGCCCATGTATTGCCAGCATGTATGGCAAAGGCTGTTCCCCCACATATTGCATAGGGTGTTGTGTGGTTTTAAGGGAGGCAGAACAAACATCTGTAGCCTCTATTCCCCTCACCTTTTTCCATGGGAGACTAATACCACTAGGAAGGGAAGCAGGAGATTGGGATTAGAAGCTGTGGCCACTGTGCTCTCCTCAGAGAGGGGGTACTGAACCAGAATTATATCTATCTGCTGTCTTAAACACTATTAGCCTAGGGGGATGCGTTTTTTGGCTTCAAATTCTGATCACTGTCTCATTATTGGGGGGAAGAAGGGCCCCAAGATTAATATCTAAGACTTGACCCCTTTCACTCCAAATACCAGTTCCACAATGAACACCCATAGTGAATAGCAAAGAAACACATTTATCCAAATCAAATAGCAAAACAAAAGCAAAGACAGACACAATCAGAGAAAGTATCCATATCTATATTTATATATCTATATCTATAGCTATATATGAGAATATACACTAGGTAATATGGGGTGAAGGAGCTGTACAATTGGGAATGAGGTAACTCAACTCTGTTGAGAGAATCTTAGATCTCACCCAGGGAAATTCCACAAAATCTCTAGTGGAGCAAGCTGGAGGTAAGGAAATGATGGAGATGGCAAGCTCCTCTCATTCTTGAGTCTTTTCCTTTAGCAACCTGAAGGGTGATTGGCCTTGAAGCTGGAAGCCAGAAGTACCCAAAGCAACTTGATATTTGAAGAGAAGTGGAAGACTAAAGAACTCTCCTTTCTCCTAGTCTCACTAGCTCTATGCTGTGCATCACACAGGCACAGGGCATTGATCTCCACTAGTAAGGAAAGAGTCTTACACCAATGAACTTTTGGACTGAGTCTACCCATATTAAGAGCTTTTTAAAGTTATATAAAATGTCAATTATTATGATTATGAAAATAGATCGTTATAGGAATATTTACAAATTAGTTCTATTTCACAGCTATTGTTCTCCTAATAATTTCATTTTGAATGCTCTTAGTATGATATGATTCATTTTTGATAAAAGCCAAGTATTTTTAAACATGTTTTTACTTCCATCACTTTTTGCTATTTTTCAGAAGTGATATTACTTCTGCTCTTCCATCATATTTCCTTATTACACTCATACGTATGTTAGATTCTAACCTGGTGTTATCCTTGACTGTCATTTTACTCTGCCAATGAGATCAAATATTTTGTGACTCAAGTGGTTTCTGAGTTCCTTTGTCCTCCTTCTTGTGGTGACTGCCTTGCAGGGCTTTTGCGGCAAATAGTAGTAAGATGTATATTTTAGTATATTTTTTAATTATGATTTTCTAGCATTAACAGCCCATTTGAAAAGGTTGGACTGAAGCTATTGCAATTGCTCAACTTTATTCTTATAATTTGAATTTGTTTTTGACTTATGTTCTAACTACCCATTGGTCTGACTACACATAGATGACTCTTCAGAAATACCTCTCCATCAGCTGCTAGTCACTTGCAGTTTGTTAAGATATAATCAATTTATTTCATGGTATTTTTAAAAATTTTGATTTGTTTTGTTTTTGTGTGTTTGCCAAATTCAGTGCCTTCTGAGTTTTTTTTTTTGGAAGCGAGTATTCATGATTCATAAGTGTGAAGTTCCTGAGTGGTTCACTAATATTTAAACTGTTTTTCTCAAATCTGAACTATATTTTTCAATTTCTTTTACTTTCTCACCTGTGCTCACTTTTGAGCTTAGGTATCAAAGTGCAAGTTGATTTAGTTTTCATGTTCTTTTAAAGTTTTCTCATAAAATAAAGGACTGCCTCCTCATCCTATGCAGCAGATTATGTTTCATAGCTTTGCTCTGAGTTGTTCTGTTTCGATTGGTCAATGAGTGAGCACAAACTCAACTAGCCTACTATATTGACAGCCTCAAACTACCAGATCAGACTATGGTTTCTGGACATCTTGCTATCTCACCACTTGGAACAGAACCTCTGGGTTAGAATGACCAAAATAAGAAAGAGTACTGGTGTCTTGTGGAGTTAATTCACCTAGCTTTGGAACTCCTACCCTGAACTGAGCTGTCTTGATTGGTGACTGAGGGCAAATTAAATTAAGTAATCAAATTGATACTACCATGGTACTATTGTTTCTGGTAAAGAAATACTAATTGACTCCCTATGGACCTAATGCCTCTTTCTAAGACTATGTGGATCCTCCCTTCCATAGCTACCACTCTCATATATGTGTAGAATTTCCCTATTAGAATTCAATCTCCTTAAGGCAAAAACCATCTTACTTTTATATTTATATCCCTGCCCTTTTGTAGTAAATGCTAAATAAATGTGTCACAATTAAATAAATAAATAATTTGTATTAATTGTGTTCTTTTTGCAATTGCAAGGAAAGATGAATGAGTATCCCATATGATGATTTTTCTTGTTGCTATTGTGCACATGATTCATTGACTCTGTAAATTCCTTTGTTTACTCCTTCAAGGAAAACCCAGGAGCCATTCTTTCATTTATTGGCAACATCCTTTTGTTTTCTGGTTTTTTTAAGGGAAAACATCAATATTAATATAGTTCAGTTCATTTAATAGTACCAATTTATTGGGCACTAGTTAGTGTAATATTTGAAGAGAGTCTTTATGTGATTCTTAACACTTGTGAGTCCCCTTCCAGCATTCTACTACTGTCTCTGTATAAATAGACATTATAAACTCTCTCATGGGTGGCCATGTCCAAAGAATCCATCATTTTAGTGGTCAAATTATTGTTGATGAAAGTTTTTCAATTCTTAGCTAAGGTGACTCACAGACAGTAGACTCAGTTTTCCAAAGTCCCTCCTAAAATGAGGTACCCAGAACTGACTACACTATACCAGATACAGTCTTATTCGTACCAACATTTGTCAAATCATAACCTCCCTTGTCCAGGACACTGCGCTTTTCTTAATGCGCCCAAATATCATAATACCTCTTTTGGATGCCATTTCATGTTGTTGATTGCCCATTGAGCTTGCTCTTCATATTTTTCAGATGAATTTCTGTTATTTTGCTTCCTTCATCTTGTATTTGTGAAATTCCTTTTCTGAACCAAGGTGTAAGATTTTAATTTATTTCCATTGAATTTAATCTCATTAGATTTGGAACCATGTTGAAGCTTTCCATGATTTTTTTGAATGCTGATTCTGTTAGCTAGTGTGTTTGCTATCCCATTTAGCTTTGTGTCATCTATAATTTTCATAAATATTTCAATTATGCCTCTCTCCAAATCATTGATAAAAATGTTAAATAGAGCCTAGCTCTGACATCTGTGGTACGCTCTTGGAAGCCTTCTTCAAAGTTGACATGAAACTAAGTAATGACCACTATTTTGTTATGAATCCACTAAGCTGTCTTATTGTCTATCCTGTTCATAAGAATAGCTTGAGAGACATTGGTAAATATCTCCCTAAAATCTAGGTAAACCATAACTACAGACTTTCCTTGATGTGGTAACCTAATAATCCTGTCAAATAAGGAAATTATGCTCTTTGGAAATGATCTATTCCAGATGAAGCCATGCTGACTCTTTGAAACCACTGCTTGCTTTTCTGACCTCAGCAGCCCTATTGTTAGTAATGCATTCTAGAATTTTGACAGAAATCTAAGTCCGCTGACCAAAGGTTTGTAGATTCTTCCTGTTTTTTAAAATTAAAACATTTGTCCTTCTCTAGTCCTGTGACATCTCTCTGATTTCTCTACAGTCTTTCAGATGACTGACAATGACTCAACAACCATGTCTTCCATTTCTTTTAGGACCTTGATATGAAGTTCAGCTGGGCATTGCGATTCCTTAAGATCAGCTAGGTGCTCTCTTTATCTTCAGATATGATTTGACTAACCTTTCTGTAGAGTTCCTTTCTTTCATGAAATTGTTTGGACAGAGGGTAAAAGTTACTTACCTAACTCATTTGCAATGATGTGCCTTACTAGACCTATTAATATGAGGCTTCTAACCATCTTTACTCAAGTCATACTTCATCAGAGGAACAGATGTCAACTTTCTAGAGGGTGATGAACCATTCTTACTGTCCCTTAATTTGCTTCCATAAGCCACTAGAGATATATATCCAAATTAAGAGCTCCCATCTGTGATTTTGAGCTTGTCAGACAATTTAAGCATTTACAAAAAGTTAAAAAGTTATTTAAACTTTGGGTCACAAGCAAAATGGATACTATTAGGCCTCATTTCTATAGTGCTTCAAGGTTTATAATGTATACCAAAAAAAATGCCTCCTTGATGTCTCTCAAAATCATCCCTTTCTTTTTGTCACTACCACTTCTACCCTATTAATGCTTTCATTACATAATTTTAGCTATTGCAATGTCTTCCTAATTTGTTTACCTTTCTCTTCTCTCTTCCCTCTCCAATTTAATCCTCACACTGCTGTCATAATAATGGTCTCTTTCTAATATGCATATACACAGACATAGATCCCCTATAATCTAATTCCTCCCTATTTTTCTGTCCTTCTTGTATCACACCTCTGTTTGTCTAAATGCCATCCAAACGAATATTGCCAGTGTGTATTCTATGCAGGTTGATTTTGAAGTGTTATCTAATAGATAACTTCAATCTGCAGTGCATAGGGTAAGGAAAATTCTTTGTTAACTTTAAAGTTCTATATAAATGAGAATGATTATGACTAAAAAGAGTGAGCATTTACATAGCACTTTTGCAAAGCTCTTTATATTAGTTAATTCATTTGATCTTCACAACCCTGTGAAGTAGGTACTATTATTATGTTCATTTTTACAGATAAAGAAACTGAGGTACAGGGAGGTTTGCCCAGGGTGACAGCTAGTAAGTCTCTGAAGCAGGATTGGAACTCAGGTATTATTTACTCCCCCTCCTCCTGTCTCGCCTTCCCCTCCTCTTGCCTCTCCTCCCTCTCCTCTTGCCTCTCCTCCCCTTCCTCCTCCATTCCTCCTACTCCTGTTACTACTACTACCACCACTCTATCCTCCCAATCAAATGAGAATTCATTGTTTCATTTTTATCTTTGTAGTTGTAGTGCCTAGAGTAGTGCCTGAAAATAATAGGCACTTAATACCTGCTCAGTGATTGAAACACACATGGTGGAGAACTAGAGAAATAAAAATGAAAACATAGGTATCCTATAGGTACCCTCAAATGGCCAGACAAGTCAGCAGCAAGCTTCTATCAGTCCTATTAAATTCTCTTTACACAGTAGGACATCTACCACTACTAAAAATTCATATAAATATGAATGATAATGACTATTACCAAGTAGTAGCAGTAGTAACAATAGTAGGAGTAGTGATTGAAGCAGCAGCTAGGTGGCACAGTGGATAGAGTCTTAGACCTGGAGTCAGGATGGTCTTGAGTTCAAATTTGACCTCATATACTTACTAGCTGTGTGATGCTGGTCAAGTCACTTAATTTATATTTGCCTTGATTTCCTCATATGTAAAATGGGGATACCAATAGTACCTACCTTCCAGGGTAATTGTCAAGTGCTTAGTATTATATAAATGTTAGCTATTATTATAGTAGTGGTATAGATTCCTATTATGTAAAGTGGGTTAGGATAAGATATGTAAGTGATCTCTTATAAGAAAAATAGATTCCTTTCACGGTCGGAGGTAGTCCAATATAGGTAGGCAGGCTCATACTTCCTTGAAAATAGTGGAACAATTCAGTCCTTTGGCCTAGCTGAAGATACTAAGGTCATAGGATCCTAAACAAGTAGAATCTGGATTGGGAATAGATAAATCGATTCAGTCACAAATAGGCTAGAAAAGGGAAAAATAAATTGATCAGACATGTAAAACTCTTCTCTTTTTAACTCAGTTCCCAGATTGGAAGAAATCTTATAACTGGATCCCATGTTTCTCTTAGGAGAAGACTAATGAGAATTATATTGTTGATTGTCTCAAAAATAACTTAAATGCAGATTTTTTTCATGCAGAAATCTGTTGTCTAGCCCAACACTCTTTAAATCAAGCATCTTATAATGTTAACAATTCAGGAAAGTTTTATGAAGTGCAAGGACCTAGAGCTGAGCTATCGTTACCTCCTACTTTACTGATGAAGAAATTAAGGCCTAGCCATACTAAGTAATAAAATGATGCTAATAATAGTAGCTTACATTAATATGTTGCTTTAATGTTTACAAACCATGTTCCATGCATAATCTCATAAGGTAGGTGTTATTGTTCTTTTGTTACAGATGAGGAAATGGAGGCTCATAGAGGCAAAGTGACTATCTTCAAGTTACATAGGAAGAAAGTGGCTTTTGTTCAGTTATTTTCAGTCCCGTCTGACTGTTTCTGACCCGCTTAGCAAGGATACTGGAGTGGTTTACCATTTCATTCTCCAACTCATTTTACAGATGGGGAAACTGAGGTAAACAGGGTTAGTGTCTGAGGTCAGATATGAACTCAGGAAGATGAGTCTTCCTCACTCCAGGTCTGGTACTCTATCCACAGGGTCACTTAGCTGTCCTTGAACTTTGTCCAATTCAAAGGCTCACTCACATTATGTTGTGCTTTCGATTTGTCTTTCCTTTCTCACTTCTGCTCCTATTCTGGTCCTCCCACTGGTCTACTTGTCTGAATTAATGATGGTGGACATACAGGTAAGAAGAGGGGGAAAAAAGACATTTTAAAGGGATAGACTGGAAAGCACTTGCAATATTGGAAGTAATTCACACTTCATGCTCTATGAAGACACACATACAGCATAGTTAAAATTGTTTTATTTTTTGACACATCACCACACAAACACTAGAAAGTACTCTGATTACCCACAATCAGATCATCAGTACAGTAACCAGTATCTTCCTACAAGCTTAATAGATGATGACAGGCTTAGTTAGGGCTGCCAGAAGTTTGTTACTGATTTGCCTGGCTATTTGGGGGTGTCTGTCTCCTAACTGTGTTACCATTTTACTCCTCTAGTTCTCTCTCCTAGGAAAATATCAATCACTGAACATGTATCAAGTGCCTACTTTGTCTCAGGCAGTGTTCTAGGCGCTACAGATACAAACACAAAAATGAAACAGTAGATTATCGTTCAATTATGAAGAAATCAGGGAGCAGTAACATCACTTAGAGCAACAAATGTGAATCTTGGTTAACCCAAATTTTTAAAAAAGTATTATTACTTCTGTTTCCCTAATAGGTTAGATTACTAATTTTTATTTTGGTTATATACTATGTATATGAGTGCTTGTGTGTCTTACAATTCTATCATTTCTTACACTTTAACTGTAACTATTCCGAGGCAATGTTGAGTAGCGGATAGAGACTTGGCCAGGAAGATCTAGGTTCAAATTTTCCCTCTTGACACATACTGGCTTCATGACCCTGAGCAGGCAGTTTAACTCTCAGTGTCCTACAGTGTCCTAGATAACTCTCAAAAGAAGGTACCAACTTGCATCAGTTGGGGAAATTTTCTATGCTAATGACATTGTGGGTCATCTGCATACCCACTGAGAAAACCACAGTAGAAAAAGCTGTGCAAATAGAACACTTAGGTATAAGTAGTCATTATCGGAGAGGAGGTGGGGGTGAAAACGAATGGGTGGGGAAGGAGAAAGGACTGTTTTTTTTTTTTGTTGAGGGAACTGTACTATATAGCTCTATTGTACACGTGCCACAGGGAAATCTCTAGTGTTAAAGATGCAATATTTAAACATTTGTGTTGTGACTGAGAGAAAATGGAAGCTGGCTTATTAATACATGTGTTCAGAGGTATTGTACAATGTTTATATTTTCTGAACACCCCAGGACCATTGATGTCTGAAGGCAGTGTTTTCTCATTCTTTCTATGTCCTCTACCTTGTCTCTCTGTCCTCTGCAATTATTGTCTTTTCATTTCCAATCATCTGTTACTCTAGTAGACTCTTAAGTAGGCATTAAAGCAACTTTAGTTCAGCAAGATCAAGAGTCCTCCTTTGACTTTTCTGTTTATGGCAGGCTGACAAGGAGCTTGGAGGGGAGAGAAGAGAATCTCAGCTTCTGTTATCCCCTATTCCTTTTGTCCTTTCTCTTTTCCCTTTTTGTTAAAGGCCCCTCTGCCACAGCTCAGTGGGAGGAATAGAGCCTTCGGCTCTTTGTATAGAGAGCTATCCTTCAGGTCAGATTTTAAGCATCACTTTCCACTGTGGTGGAGAGGAAAGCAAACAATGCAGCACCGTGAATCTGGTTTAAGTGATTGATGCTGTGAGTTGAGAGTTCCAGGACCAATGATCCATTAACAGAAATGGGCATGTAGGAAACCTTGGTGCCAATGAGTTAAGTGCCCATTGCTATACTCAATGAACAGTCTGTTGATCTCAATTGTCAGCAATTAGAGGTGATTAGCAAGTGCTTGCTTGGTGGGTGGCACAATGAGATTCCTCTTGGAGAGGAGACTAACTTACAAATAAACTAGAGAGGCATTGCTATAAAAATGCAAAAGAAAAAGCTCAATCACTAAACATGGGGACTGGGCCAAAGAAGAACTCTTGTGAGTGCTTTAATTTTACCTCTTAAACCTCTCATTACCTCGGAAACAATCCAGTGAGTGATGAGGAAGGTGGGGTGTATATGAAGTGCTCATTTAGAAGGCAGATGCTCTTTATTAGAGATGAAAGGATGGGAAACAAAAGAAATCAGGAGGAGAATATGAAAAGAAAATAGGAGGATGGGCCACTAAAAATTTGGAGGAGTTTTATGGTTTTCCCTCATTTAAGGAGTTAGTTCCCTTTCTTCTCTTTTTCCTTTTTTTTTTTGTTCCCTTTCCTTTCTCTGCTTTCTTTTCCTTAACCACAATAGCTTTAAGGCTTTCACAGGACTTT